AAATTACCAATCGTTAACGATAGTCATGTCGGTAGAGCGCTCACATCGTGATCAGAAGATCTAGAGTTCGAATCTCGGCTAAATCGAAAAAAAAATTGGAAGCTACTGTGTGCTCAGCACGTTGAAGTGAAAATTGTGGTTCTTTTGGATGAGACCTTAAAAACCGAGGCAATGTCACGGCAGACGCAGGCACAATGACGATCCCTCATGCTCAATGGCCTTGAGTGCCGAGTAAAGGTGGAAATTAAAATCCTTCAATGGAATATATATGGTGAGGTCTCTATCTCTATATGATTGAAAAATTCTTGAATGAGACGTAAAGCAACATACAATCAATAAATCAATCAAATTCATCAGTATACATGTATATATATAATTCACTGAATTTTATTAATACTAGCGGTACTGTGAGCAATGAGCTCACTAAATGATACCACCCGCCTCCCATATTGTTATAATGGAAAAGTCCATGTTTTGTTGTGCCCGGCAAACCCAAAATATGTTTCGAAGAAAAAGTAAAATACGAGGTGCACAATGGCAATATGTAATGAAGATTGTGTGATAGTTTCATTAATTTCACTAATTGGTATAAGAGGAGTTGCGGATAAGAAATTGGTACCCCAAAGCGTAACAGACAGACGGTCGGACGGACGGACGGACAGACATACTGACGGACAAACAGAATGACGGACATACCGATTATAGTATGCCATCCAACTTTTCAAGCGGGGAGTATAATAATGCACATTCTTTAGTCGAATGTATTATACCACAATCGTTTTACAGGAGTCTTAATTGTGCCGTTAGATTTTTTTAATGTTACATATACAGAGGAATTTTGTATCCTAGATCTATAAGAAACTATGAAAGTTTAGAAAAATATTAACTTGAATACAATTTAACTTATCTATTTTGTATAGCCTTAAGGTGTTTGACAGCCTTAACACATTAACTATTATAATGTCAAATTATTTAATTGTCAGAATGCAGACAGACTGACATTCATATAACACAATCTTGCGGACAACATTCATGACCCTTTCAGATTTAGATGTTGAGTTGTTGATGATATAGACTACAGAAATGTTGTCAATGTGGAAGACAAGTCTGGAATTGGCAAAGTGGCTCTGCCACAATATAATAGTGACCACGACGGGGAAAAGTTCCAGGAAAGTCATTTCCCTAGTAATACCTTGTTTAACCCAAAGGCTTGGCCAGGCCCTATAAGCCCATTTCCCGCTAAAAAAATGCAAACCCCCGTGCTATCTGTGAATAGTTGAATTGTGTTGTTATCAATCAAGAGTTTGGAAGATATGACAGTTATGCCATTGTAAGATTGCAAAAAAGTTTTTCATACGGTGAGGTCAGCTTTTATGTTTTTTGTTACCCTTATTCTGTGATGTTGTTGAGTAATGCCTATTGTTGAATTGATAAGGCGGCGACAGAAAGGGGCAATAACCTTGCACGCAAAGTTTAATAAGCCAATTAGTGACTGCATTTCTCTAAGGGAGACTTTCTTTGCTTTCAAAAAGTCATCTAATATGCCATGAATCTGGTTTAATTTTTCCAAAGGGAGTTTCACAGTCATATTGACTGTGTTTAAATCTATTCCTAAGAATGTTCAGACTTGCGTAGGTTCGACTGTTTTGTCATGAGCAATTGGGACACCAATATCTGAACATATGGATTTAAAAAAAAAAAAACATCTAGGGCATTGTGGCAAGTGGATGTGCCTTTTGGGCCGCAGAAAAGGAAATCGTCAAGGTAGTGAATAATCAATTCATTTTGGGAGTATTTTTCAGGGGGCTAATGTAGGAATGATGCAAACCTGTCAAATAATGCACAGCGGATTGAAGAGACAAAAGGTAACATTTTATCAAAGTAGTATTTGTCCTGAAATTTGATCCCAAGCAGGTCAAAATCACCTGGGGATACCGGGAGCAGCCTTAATGTTGACTTAATGTCCGTCTTGGCTTAATAGGCCCCCTTCCCCACCTTACATTAATGTAGCTATCATTTCTGCTGCTTGATCTATGTTGCTGTAATGGACTGTACATGCTTGCGTGTCAATAAAATCATTAATTGGCTTGTTTTCTGGGTAAGAGAGATGGTGTATGAGTCGCATAACACCGTCTTTTTTGGCACAAGGCCTAAAGTGGAAACCTGCAGGTTTGGAATTGGTGGGTGAAAAAGGGGCCTGCGCTCACTCTTTTTTCAAGCGACTTCTTTTTGAATTTTGATTTCCGGCATTACTGTATAAACCTTCAGGCTAGGGAGGTTAAAAGATTCGCGGGGTGACCTGGGGCCCAAATATTGGAGATTAAAGCTATACTTAAAACCCTGGAATATGAAATCGCAGTCAGGATATCCAACTAAGTGTTTACATAAATTTGTAAATTTCATAGGTGTTGTACCCAAGGAATATATGAGACTATTATTTTGCACACGTGGTACAGTACTTTGGTGGTTAGCTCCGCACTTACTGCATGCATGTCTGTACTTGTACCTAGGGAAGAAAGGGAAACTGACTCCCTTATTAAAATGATTACAATAAAATGCCGAAGTACGATTTTCATTGTTTGGGCATTAACTTTGACTTTGAGAAGATGTTTTATTATATGTTTCTTGTTTGTTAGATATATACAAAAGCCAAAATTCCTAATTAATTTGACCCCATGACAATTGGGGCTGATTTGCCATTTTTAAACGAAATTGTTCGTCATATTTAAACCAATTGTTTGACCTAGTAGCACCAATTCTGATATCTCTGAGAGCCCGTGTTGGAAATTTCTCCAACATTACGCTTGAAATATAATACAAGAGGCCCACGGGCCTTATAGGTCACCTGAGCATTCTGCAACAACTTTCCAGATATTGAATTTGATTCACGTTTTAAGCCAGATGCTATATGGCATTCACAATTTTGAAAGAGGCACCATTGATAATCATATCAATACACTTAGCAGTTGCTTAGCTTGGTTTATTGATTTGAAAATGTCCAATAATAAGTTCATAGGATCTTCATGAATGTTTCACGAACATTTCATGAATAAAATTCATGAAAAATTCAAGGAAATTCATGAATTATTCATGATCACCTCGCAGGGGTACTGAATACCCATATGCAAGGTACAAAAATGCATTCCAACTAATCAGTAATATTCAGCAATAATCAGTAGTTAACACCGTGAAATAAACCCCTGACCCTAGGTTTATTTTAAAAAGGCACCCTTAAAATTGCCTTCATACCCAGAAACAGAGGAGAAAATTTTCAAAAATTTAATGTATTTTCACTATATAATCAATAGAGCCCCCCCCCCCAACACCAGAACCCCTGACCCTGGGACCATAAAATTCACAATTTTGGTAAAAGCACTCTTGCTCATCATAACTATGCACTTAGTTAGTTTATTTAATACCTAGGAACAAAGAAGAAGATTTTCAAAGAATTCATGTATTTTTACAATATAATCTATAGAGCTCCCCCCCCCCCCCCAACACCAGAACCCCTGACCCCAGGACCATAAAATTCACAATTTTGGTAAAAGCACTCTTGCTCATCTTAATTATGCACTTAGTTTTTTTATTTAATACCTAGGAACAAAGAAGAAGATTTTCAAAGAATTCATGTATTTTCACTATATAATCAATAGAGCCCCCCAACACCAGAAACCCTGAACCTGGGACCATAAAATTCACAATTTTGGTAAAAGCACTCTTGCTCATCATAACTATGCACTTAGTTGGTTTATTTAATACCTAGGAGCACAGAAGAAGATTTTCAAAGAATTCGTGTATTTTCACTGTATATAATCAATAGAGCCCCGCCCTAACACCAGAACCCCTGACCCTGGGGCCATAAAATTCACAATTTTGGTAGAGGCACTCTTGCTCATCATTACTATCTACTTAGTTGGTTTATTTAATACCCAGGAGCAGAGAAGAAGATTTTCAAAGAAATAATGCATTTTCACTTACCTATTTAGCCCTTAGAACCCCTGACCCCAGGGCCATGAATTTCACAATTTTGGTAGAACTCAATGCTGATTACAATCATGCAAACAGTTTGACTGCTTGATGTCCAGGAGTAAAGAAGAAGATTTTTAAAGATTGCATTAATTTTTGGTTTTTCAGGCCCCAGGGGGGCAGGGATCATGAAATTCACAATTTTTGTTCCCCTTCACCCATAGATGCTTTGTGCCAAATTTGGTTGAAATTGGTTCAGTGGTTGCAGAGAAGAAGCTGGAAATGTTCAAAAGTTTTCATGTCGAAAACCTTTTAAAAAGCCGATGTCCACTTATCGATCGTGAGAAAGGTGTTTGTTTTTGGTTTAATAATGCATAGACGCCCTTCTATAATTTTTATGTCCCTTTTGATTCATTATCTTGTAATTCACAAGCTGTTTTTGTTAGCAGTGAGAGATCTTTAAATTTGCACTCCCATATTTGGTTTTTTAATTTTTTGAGGGACATGTGAACCTAGAGAATTATAACAACTGATTTCTTGTTGTGGTTGACTTGAAAATTTGACTCACCGCGTCCACTGGAAGTTCCGGGGGTGCTTTTGTCTGTTGGTGGTGACAATTTGGGTTCAATTATCACAAATGGCGAGGGAGGAGCTTCTGAGGGAATTCCATCAGTATCTGTTGGCTCGACCGGGGCCGGCCGTGGTGGCGAGTGGTTTGTCCTGGTGCTTTGTCTGCACCGTTTCCCTCTGCCTCTCGATGGGTTCCCAAAGCCTCCCTTTGCTTCCTGGACGCTCTTTGAGTCGTTTTAGTTCTAACTGGCGGCTTAATTTCAGTCCTTGGGCCGTCGATGCCCTTTGATTCTTCTAGATATAAAAAAAACATCTGTTTGCAACAATTTGCTGGTTTGAAAAGGGGGATATTTTCCGGTGCGCTTACATGATTAATCCGTACGTAGATTTGCTCGTAATATATGTACACTTCATCACCACTAACCAAACATCAGAACCCTGTCCTAAATTAATAATTTACTATTTGATATAAAATAACATAATCTTGATTATTAAACAATGAATTTAGTTATACTTTTTAAACAATTAAAGACGTGAAGAAATTGCTAATTTAAGTTAAATTAATAATAAGCAACTAAAGTTTTCAAATGAAGGATATGGAGATAACGAACAGTATTCAGTCTCAAAGTCCATAAAACAATACAAAATAAGAGCAGAGCAAACACGGACCTCCGAAACATCAGAGATGGGATCAGGTGCCATGGAGGAGTGAGCATCCCCTGCCGACTGGTCACACCCGCCGTGTGCTCCTTGTCATGATCAGGAAATAACGGAAAAAATCCGTCGTGAATTCAGTGTATAAATAATTGACTAACAATTGGTATGAAAAACGTCAGTCAGCATTTACTTAATGATAAATTGTATTTGCTGACAAGGTCATTGTATCGACCATAGAACTTACGAAATGATGACATTAAACGAGACTGCTGATATTCTTGTTTCATCAACTTGCTTGTTAATAATTTACCTCGTTTTAGAAATTGTTCATACGTAGAGAATGCTCTTGCGTATCGAATAAACTGAGATATATGTACTCCGTATGCAGGTGATGAAGGTATATTGCTGCATAAGTAAGGAAAAATGACGGTAGAAAAGTCAAAGTCATCACGTTTATCATATAGCTTGGTTGTTAAAATACCATTAGTGTGTTTTCAAGTAAATATCCAAGTATGAAACAGATGAAACAGAAGTGTCGGACTCTGTGGTATCTTTTATCTCAAGCTCACCAGGAAACATGTATATTGTATCGACGTAGGAATGGAAATTACCATTATTAATTGAAAATACGTCGTCGATATGTCTAAATGTCGAGTTGAAGGCCACATCAATTGTTTTCTTCTTTACACGCACAAGATTTGCATAAATTCTGCTTCATATGAATATAAAATAAGTCTGCTAATAACGGAGCGCAATTTGTACCCATGACAATTCCAATATATTGTTGGAATACCTGGTCTTCAAAAACCACATAGATGTTGTCAATCAGAAACTCAAGCATCTTCTTGATGTCAATTTCAGAGTACTTATGTGTGCAATCAGAAACTGTTTTAACAAAATAATTTTGCTCATAACCAATGACGAGGTAAGTAAATTTACGAGTTCTATTTTTATTGAAGAAGCAGCTGTCAATGATATCAAAAAGCCTCGATTTTAATTTGTCTGGGGCATTGTTGTGTATAAAGTTGAAAAGTCGTAAGTTTGTAAGCAGTCGATTTTTGTAAAGTCTTATGATTTCAAATTGTCCAAAAGTTCTCTAGAATTTTTTAATTTTCCACATCTGATTCACACCACTTCTTGAATATATAGTTGCACAGTACTCTTGAAGTTTTTCCTTCACTACTGTCAATATCTTAATGAGGAGTAACGAAAGAGGCTTGGTTGAACATTTAATGGAACCTGCTATGTATCTTTGTTTGTAAGGATTCTTATGAAGTTTCAGAATCCAATATATATATAATGTAGTTCAAATTCATTATGGCTCTGTGGAATATTGAAAGTATTCAAAACTGACATATGATTTTGAAGAATTTCTTCCTTAGTGAGGGAAGTATGAGTATAAGTAGGATTACCACTTATAGAGTTAAATCCTAGTTCTTCTAAAATGCAATTTATATAATAAGCCTTAAAAACGAAGACAATGTTGTTGTCAAATATATTAAACACATAAGATTTTCCGAACAAACAACAATTATGTTAGCTTTTAAAAGCTTCCAATATAAGTGTAGATTTGAACCAACAGTCCTTGAAAAGTGTTTTTTTCTTTCAAAGTAAACGATTAAAACTTTCTGTTTTTGTAACATGTTTTATCTTTAAAGACAACTTAACCACATGTAAAAAGAAGAAAAATTAAAGTTAAAGTATTTTTGTTTATTTCATAACATCATCTATAGGTCCTATATGATAACATCTTTTTCCTCCATGAAAATATTTGATCTTTAGAAAGAAAAAAGTGGGCATCGTATGATTGGCAACAGTATTTTTTATTCTTAATATCCAGGGAAAATGGCATGTACTTGACCAGACCGTGCCTCTAATTTAAACAATCAAGTATAATCTAACGGACACCATCAGTTAATGATATTGTCTTCTTTATTCTGTGATACATTTATTAATCTTTAATATTTAAACATATGGAGATAACGAACAGTAAAACAACTAGAAATATGAGAAAAATACCTCGTTTAGGTACTACAAAAAACTCAAACTCTATTTCAACTCAATTCTTAAACCATCTGATTGGACCTGAAACCATTTGTTATCATTATTATTTTTTTGAATTTGTTCTTTGATCCATTTCATTCATTCAGATGATTTTTTTTTTACTAAAGATTGAATGATACATTTATTTTATAAAGCATATATACATTTGAATCTTCAATACCCGGGGAAGCATGTTCAATTTTTAAAACAAAATTACTCAAATTTACAAGTGATAATATATTTTACCGAGTCTTAGTAACAAAAGGGTTACCTTTAAAATCAACATCACTAAAGTTGTTATATATCAATTGATAAATTATAAATAAGGCACATTCTTATATACACTTGCACATTTGTTTTTTATTTATGAGTCTTGATAAAATATTTTCGAGGGTTCAGCCCTCGTACATGTGTTAATACGAGGCGGAGGTTTGCATCAGATTTGTTTTCCATGTAGACTATAGTTTTTTTAAGGTATATATTTATCAAATACTTTTTGAATTTCATTACTGTTGTTGCTTTATTTATCCATGTGCTGTCTGAACTTTATTAGCTGAACTTCATTAAGTACATTGCGTTTTCAGATTACAAGGATTAGATGTTGTTGAATTTTAAAAATAAATTTCAGTGTCAATTACCGTGCACATTGGCTCAGTCGGTAGAATGAGACCCTGTGTAACAGCAGGTGTTGATTAAATCAATTAATTCATTAAATACATGTAACCTGGAATTTCTAGGGATCGAAATTCTGAGCACAGAGAAATCACTGAATCAGCATCATTTGTCATTTTGCGTCGAATTTACAGTGGAATTCTAGAAATTTTATAAATTCTCAATAATTTCACTTTATAAATGTAGAGTGTACATGTATATATCGCCGCTAAAACAATAATGATCGATTCCACTATTCCATTACCGTATTTGAATATACAAGGGGCGAGTGCAAATAGCAAATCGGGAAAGCGAACGCCTGGTTCCCTTTTACGGACCAAGAGCTGACTCCTAGTGAACGCAAAGTGAACCCGAACGCACCAGGAAGCGAGCCCGATGTGTGCCTTAAGTACGCTCTGGTGTTAGGTTGTGTTTGGTTTGTACTGTACATCATCACATGTCATCTGTATTTAAGTTTTAAAAAGTCTTAGTTATGACAAAATTTAAAATACCATTTGAAAACACCTTTTTACATTACAGAAAATTCTGAAAGATTCGAACATGGTACTAGTAAATATTATGAATAATGAATTATTTAAGCATTATTAGGAAATGATGGTACATTTATTACCTGCATACTAAATAATATTAGAAATAAATTTGCTGATTCAATAGTATGCTGTTTAGCTACAATGATGGTAAATTAAAAAGCCTACTTGTTTTTTCATACAGCAATGAACGTCAAGCGTCGTCGACTCCTTTTTGCTTCATACTAAGTACCTATGCCTTTTTCAATATCCATGGTGTGTAGTTTTGTTTAGCTATCATGGATAAAAGCCGCATCACCGAAAAAATTGCCGTATTCTGCCTACCGATACTTTGGATCATACGATCATTTCAGATTATCTGTCGTTTGTCCTTAGCAGTTTTATCTACCTTATTTCAATTAGCCTGTAGATACACACGTTTTGCCAGAACGGTTAAATGTTCGCGATTTATAAAGCGTAAACTGCCACAAGTTATGTTATGTCGGATTACATAAGTTGAAATAAGCTTCATTCCTTAAATACAATATAAAGCAGTAAATATATATTGAAGTGACTAAACAGTCCACTGAAAATAACAGCAATAAAAATGCTAAATAAAATATTAAATATAGAATTTTTCAAAATCTTCACAATCAAAATTTATCTCTGATAAAAGAAAGAAAATGAATGATGCATCCTTTGCAATCTGCCAAAATAAATAAATAAAAATGGCCATAGTCAAACAATATTTTACCAGAAGTGGCCTTTATGAAATTCTTCAGCACCTCAATGGAACAGTTGTCTGGTTTACACTGCTTAATGATACAGTGTGATGTAGGTATATCATAAGCAAAGAATGGAGACTGTGAAACTCTCGGTTTGGGAAATTTAGACAGTACCAGGGCTTCTGTATCTGTTGGAGAAAAAATATGTATTTAAATATCCTCTCACATTTAAATCAATATAAAACAGAAAATATCTTATTCTTTCTATAAGGATTGTTTTACCAGTCTGATTTTCTTTATTTTCCAACATTTCTCCAGTGCATACTACAGACTCGCAATCTGAAAATGATATTATAGGGTTTATTCACCTTAGAGCGTGCCTGGTATCATTTAACATTTTAAGTAGAATTTGCAATTTCATTTTGTATTAAATGGCGTCTTACATCGAAAAAATAAGCTTTCGCCTCTTTGAACATGCCCAACACAGTTGTATTTCAGATGTTCTATCTTGTCTTTACATGTGGTCGTATTGATGGAGAACATAATATCTGTTCTACACAATCTGCGTTGGTGTTTTTCTTTTATTATTATGTGTGTTTGTATGGTTTCCAGGTTCATATCTCCAAATGAACACGAAGAGGTACTATTCTCAACACCCATCACATACAGAGATATACCTGGTAAAAGAATTCAAAAGTTGATGTTGTGACATGTATTACCGGTACCTATTGCGCTTGTCATTGGAAATACATTTTTTTGTTAAAAGTTCATTTTAAATGTCAAACAACACCTATTACCTTGATAGAATCTATTTACTTTGCTACTGGTCATTTCAAAACAGGTATTCTCCAAATCACGTGGACTTTTGTCATCAGTATGAGAGAAAGAAAAACAGCTGCAATTCCGAAAATCAAACTTTATTTTCATGCTTTAAAATGTAACAATTAATATTCCATAGGTATATACAATGACATAGCCAAAAATTTATTTTTAGAAGCACAACTCATGTCAGATTAGATAAAAGTAAAGATCGAGGGAAAAACAAAAAGTGGTTTACCTTGTTTCCATTTGAGAGTTCGCTTCGTAAAAAGTGAACGTTGGAAATACAGTTACCAACAAAATATCTGTAGAGAATTAGTAAAAGTTATATCCAAGTAAGTGACCAGAGTTTTTTTCCCTTATTATACATGAATATACACATATTCGTTTTGATCTCAAATCGGAAAATCGGTGTCCTTATAAAAAGATTAAGTTGATTGGCTTTACTTATCAATTACTTATAAGTCGTTTCTTGCTCTGAGGAAAAAGTCATTTTATTGTCATAGTGATATTTGAGAAATAAAATATTTTTAAATGCTACTTCTTTAAACATTAGAATTTTGTTTATTCTTAAAATTTCTGGTTATGGGCATATGTTTAAGGTAAAATTTTTCATTCAGTTATCCGATCTGGGATATTTATGAATTATTACTCATTTCTGTTTTACACCGGTCGGCATTATATATATCAATCCTATTTCGGTGGTCTTTATTTTATCAATGTTCAACTTTCATGAATGTTTGACGGTCCACCCTTTCAATCAGCATAATTTTCATTCATCTAAGAGGTCATAACATAAAGGGTTTCCTTATTTTAAGAATAAGGCTGATGTACATATTTAAGATTTAAGACCCTAACCAAGAGTATGTTAAGCAATAGTAAACGAAAGCTAAAGGTAGCTTATTTGTATTTTAGGTACCATTACACACACGCAAAACAATTTTTTAAAACGATATAAGCTTTGATATCGGAAATTTGTATTGCAAAATTATAATTAACTATTCAAATGACAGAAAAAATATTGATAAACTCTTTTTGATCACATTTTAAATGGAAGAATTATTTATAAGCTCTGATTGAAGCAAAATTACATAATTGCCGTCCTGTGCAATATTGATTTCTTTTATAATGCTTTATATTTGATTGTATAAAAGTCTTTCGTCTGAAACAATTTAGCACTTCATTTTAGTCTTATTGATTATAGAGGTTTAAAATACATAAATATTTATCGTAAAAATAATCGGTAAACTGAAACTTGAAATTGTTTGCAAAAATCAAACTATTATGTATGACCCTTCTTAAATCAAAAAATTTAGGTTTTATGTTAGGAGCAATTTATGTACATAGATATATGTAAATACTTACAGTATACGTCAGATGTGAAAAACATTGATAATGTTTGCGCAACTATATGTATCAGAGTTGGTTTTGAACAAAATTCAAACAATGGTCCTTAGGTCAATCATAAAATACTACATATAACACAATAAAAAAATGTGAGAGCACCTTCATGTCATTTCCTGAGAAACCAATTTCCTGGAAAATAACCATCATGTAACGACTCTTTTTTCACGAATCAGCACAATTTTACATACATTGGAGCTATTCTCTGCAGGTGTGATTTCAATTTTCATTTACATGTATTTTCCCTTGCTAATTAAGCAAGAGTTCTCAAAAGTTTCCTGATAGTTTTAATATAAATGTTCTGTTGTCTATTAACAAAACACTTATAATCATTCATACTTCCCTCTCTGAGGAGAAACTTCTTCAAAATCATATGTCAGTTTTGAATATTTTTAATGCCCAAATTCCCAAAGAACCAAAATGATTTTGAACTACCATATATATATTGGATTCCGAAACTTCATAAGAAACCTTACAAACAAAGACACATAACGGGTTCCAGTAAATGGTTAATCAAGCCTCTTTATTTACTCCTCACCAAGATACTACAGTAATGCTGGAGGAACTTCAAGAGTTCTGTGCAACAAAATATTCAAGAAGCGGTGTAAATCAGATGTGGATAATTCAATATTCCAAAGAACTTTAAGACAATTTGAATCACAAGATTTTACTAAAATCAACAGCTTAAAAACTTACGACTTCTCAACTTAATACCAAACCAATCCCCACGATAAGATAAAGTCCAGGCTTTTCGATATCATTGACATAAAAAATGGAACTCACTCGTAAATTTACATACCTTGGTCATTTGCGTATTTATTTTGTTAATAAACATTTTGATTGTACACACAAGTACTCTGAAGTCAAAAAAGGCTTGCGTTTCTGATTGACAATATTTATACTGTTTTTGGAGACCACGTCTCCCAACAATCTATTGGCATTCCCATGGGTTCCAATTGCTCCCCGTTATTATTAGACCTATTTTTGTATTCATAAGAAGCAAAATTTGTGCAAAATCTTATGTGTGAAAAGAAGAAAACACTTGCTGTAGCCTTCAACTCGACATTTAGAAATATCGACGACATATTGTCAATTAACAATTGTAATTTCCATTCTTATGTCGATACAATATATGCTGGTGTGCTTGATATAAAAGATACCAGGGAGTCTGACACATCTGTTTCATACTTAGATATTTTATTTGAAAGGTACGCTAATTGTATACTTACAACCAATGATAAACGTGATGACGTTAACTTTTGTATCGCTAACGTCCCTTACTTACACAGCAATAAACCTTCGTCACCTGCATACAGAGTGTATGAATCTCAGTTGATTTGATACGCAAGAGCATGATCTCCCTGAGAAAAATTTCTAAAAAGAGGTTATTTTTGTCAAAAAAGTTAATGAAACAAGTATCAGCGGTCTCGTTTAAAGTCACCATTTCGTAATTTCTGTGGTCGATACACCTGTTTTGACCTTGTTAGCAAATACAATTTATCATTGAGTCAAATGCTGACTGACGTTTTTCATACAAATTGTTAGTCCATTATTAAAAATATGAATTGACGACGGATTATTGCGTCATTAACTGATCAAGACGAGGAGCACACGGTAGGTGTGACCGGTCGGCCGAGGATGCTGATACCTCTATGGCAACTGATCCCACTTCTGATATTTTGGAGGTCCGTGTTTGTTCAACTCTTATTTTGAGTTGTTTTATTGACTTTTGAAAATTGAATACTGTTCGTTATCTCCATGTGTTCCACTTTTATTTATCGAGATTTACTTTGGTTTCAATAACAAAGGGCAAATTTCATGCAACACGGCTTTGTTGTTATATAATAAAAATACTATAAACTTAACGAAAACAATAACTTTTCTATTTACCATTATTGACTCCATTCAAGCGAAATTGAAATAAAAGACGCCACAGTGTTTTCCACATTTATTTCACAGTTTACTGGATATAAACAAAAAAAGGGCAAACTAACATGTAAATTGTACTATAAATTAAATGAATTCAGATTTTACATCGATAGATTTCCTTTTTTAGCAAAACTCTTCATGCCTGGGGTCACGAACTGTAAAAATATTTGAAAAAAGGTCTCCTGTATACGAAGAAATATTTATACTGAAATTGGTCAAAACAAAAAAAATTATAAATATGTCTACTGACTCTGTACACTGTAAAAAAAAATAAGTGGATTTCCAAAAATCATATATTTATAAGTTTATGTCTACATTATTGATTAAAAAAAACGGTTTGGCGTGAATAATGATAACACTACTGATACATGTTAATTAGGAACAAAAAAACTAACCGTATGATTATAGATTACAGTCACAGGAAACAAAAGTAATAAATGTACCCAGATGTGCAGACATACCGTCTCCTCAACACCTTCCTGTTCAATACAAATTATTTATTCTTACTAAAGCCGTCTTTTTAAAAATAGTTACATTTATACATTTTGTATAGTATAATTAATAATGAGGATGAAATCATAATTATACTTTTTTTCTCAATTTCACAGGCACTTAACCCAGATTTCAAAAAAAAATGTTTAGACTCCGACTCCTTCAGATATTATATAACTCATTCTTCAATACTGAATTCAAATGTGTGACCGAAGGGCTATTTTTTAAAAATAATCAATTTCATAATTTATGTATATTAATTGAGTCAGTACCCTTCCTGCTTCTGAAAAAAATTGACGGGAAGATAATCGGAAGTCTGAAAGAGGAGATAGGTGTCCAAATGTACAAGCATGTCTAAAATTTTATGTACGTAACTTGGTGTCCACAGTGACTGTTTTTTAAATCAATAAGCTATTCTTTTCTAGTGAATCCTTTTTGAAGTATATAAACACTAGTTTGCATGTTTTATTGCATGACTTATTTTTGCCTTATTCCATTATAATCAGAAAATATATCCAAGATTACCAATGGACACCGTTATTTACGTAAACACAAAACAAGTAACATATTACTAGAAATTAACAAGTTGTTAAAATATGAAAATAATGTTATCAATAAGGTATGATGAAATCATGTTTAATGTTATATTAAATGGAATTTATTTAAAAAGTCACAATTTTTATTTCAAGTTTCAAAAAAGGAGAAATTATGTACGTAACATGGACACCTAACTCCGAATCAGGTTTAAAAAGGAACAAAAAACCACAAGACAATCGAACACTTGTCTTTAATACTTTTAATATTTCATTTCAAAGCTTAATAATAGACTAGCTTTCAAAGAAAATTAATGCAGACAAGTAAATTGTCAGATGGATTGCTAAATATCCTAGGTCTTCTATTTTGAGTCTTGTGGATCTTGGTGTCATTGTTACGAACATAATTCAGACATTTCTTGTAAATCTGAAAGAAAAAAAAATATATAAAACAAAATACACCATGATGTAATTAATACATATGCTGTTTAATTATATTTATTATATATCCTTGAGAAAACCAGAAATAAGGCAATTAAAGCACAAATTATGTCACTACTTCAAGTTTTCGAGTCTCCTTTACGAACGTAATTCCGTAAACGATATGGCAATAATAAAAAAATATTCAATAAGTATTCATCCTTTGATAAAAACAGAACAAAAGTAACAGATATAGAGTAGAATATAGTGCAATGTAACAATTATCATTAATAGATTATATAAATAATGTAAAAACACTTATGTTCATAACAAAAGACACGAATCAAAAGTCAAATGTTAAACCGAAAGTACTCGACTCGGACAGATTTATGCATTTTGTATAGTCATAATTGACATATTTTAGTTTCTGATTAATAGCTACATGGTATAAAGATACAATGACTGTATTTATGTTTTAAACATTCACTCAAATTGATACAATATGAATATACTTACCGAATCTATTATGTACGTAACTTCTTTTTTCCACATGGACACAATGAGCATCGCCATGTTTTCTAGCAGACAGCTGCGCCATCTTTCTACTTTTGTTTTCAATTTATAATTATACCACTGCTACGGACTTCCTGAGCCAAACTTATAATTCATTAGCTGTTATTTTAGCAATCATACTGAAAGCTATTATGTTCATAACGTTCAAGACACCAAACATTTTACAATTAGAGATCATTTTAAAATTACAAAAAGAACTGAGTTATGGTCATGAAGCATATTCTTAAAAATAATATATCACACATACTCATTAATTAAACACAGAAATTGAACTTGACAAATTATTTAATGTTTGTAGAGAGGTGTTAAAAACTTCAATGCATATGGACACAATGCGTTACGAACATAAACCATATATTTTTAAGTTCAGAAAAAAATAATTACACTATTTTGAGCATGTCTGACAAAATAAATATATTATTTCATTTATATGCTAGAACAAAGTACACATATATCATGCCAAATGATTTTATTTTTACGTAAAACAATATCTTTATGCCTATTCGAAAATTATGTCACATTTTCTGTGATTGAAATCCCCTAAATGCAATACAACAGTGACAAATATTTTTTTATTCCTAAACTCACATTCATAAAACTATTTATACTATATCCTTTCATAAGTATCAAATCATATCAATATCAATCTATCTGCTTACACTTTATTTATTGGAAAATAAAGGAGAAAAGAAATATATTTAAAAAATTCACCAGTATTGAAGAATGAGTTATATACTTTGTTTCATGTAATATACACGATTTGGCAAATGAATATTAAAATATGATTGATGATTGGTGAGAATATTTTTTTCTTTTTTTTATATCAATTTGCTTCGCCAACAACATCAATAACTATATAAATTTCATATCGAATTTCATTACAATGAATTTTTTAACACCAAGATAGTAGTAATTGTTTTCTAATTGAAAAAAAAATCAATCATAACTTCATTTATGCATAATTAGATTGCCTTCTTAAATTCCTTTTCAAGCATAAAATAGTTATCTCCATCAATTTTCACATTGCTTTCATCTTGACCTCTGTCTCTTTTATCATTTGACACACTTAAATCGCTTCCTGTGTTATCACTCTCAAGATTCTTTTCTTGTTGTGCAGCAAGGACAGTTCGGGGATTATCATAATTCTCTTTGTCATCATTCTCATCCTTTTCAAAAAGATGATACCTACATCATCTGGTTGGTTATTTGCTGGGTCATCCTTTGGTTCAGTTCTTGGCTCAATGACGCTATACATACCACCTCCCTTAAATCAAATAATATAAAAAGAACAATGGGCATGTAATATTTACAGTGCAAAAAATACGGTTACATGAAAGGATTTTTACTTGTACTTGAGTCCGACTCCAGCAGTTGTACATATAACTTGTACAGTTAATCAAACAAAAACTTAAAGAATGTACCTTATTTGTGGTGTGAAAGTTTGTGTTTTCTTTTTTGACGTTTTCTAATTGGTCATATACATCACGATTGGAAACAGATTTAGACTGCAGTCGTGTTTCATAAACTTCTACGTCATCTCCCAAACTCGACTGTTTAATTCTATGAATAAAACAACAATATAGTAAAATGCCATGGAGTCTCAAACTATATGAATATCTAACTTCGACACAGGGATGAACTCTTCTCAAAGTCAAATAAGTTTATCTTTCTGCTATTATAGTATCTGGCTAAAAGTTTTAAAAGATACATTAATTTAACCAAAAATTTACCCTTTATCTGGACTTGATCGCCTTCTTTGAATTAGAAACATGATGAGGATACATAATAGAGCGCCAATGATTAAGCCAGAAATCCCTGCTCCAACTGCTGGAGCGGTTGCATTGTTATCTAAACAAAAACATAATATTTACCATTAATTGTATTCTGATTTTTTTTTTACAACTGGATTTGGAATTTATACCACAAATAAGACATGTTCTTCCTTTAAAAAATACATGTGCAGTTTTTAAGATTAAAACTGCATGTAGTTTCCAGGAAAAAAACTTGTAATACAGGTAAATCTTTCACTAGAATATTTCACCCATTTTTGCTATTCTTAGTATTGCATGAATTAAAATGGCTTATTTAGAGAGAGATAAAAAGCAAATACAATATGCCTCATATATGTATTCAACCAATTCCATACTTTATTACTTTTTGAAAAGTACTGGTCAGGGATTTTATTTCTTGTTGACTCTCTGTTCCTGGAAGCATAAAATAAAACATTTATTAACACTCACATACAGAATGGATAGATAAAGTTAGCATAACAAATAAATTAATATGTTTTAAGGATTGAATCAAATTGCTTAAACATCAGTTTAGTTTAGCCACTCACTTTTACAATAATTATCTTCTTTGACAAAACCAAAGTCACAACTGCATTTCCTTCTATGGCAGATAGAAGCATCACTGGTTCCAGTACATTGCAATGATATTCTACATGGCATTTCAAGTTCTACAGCATCTAGTAATGTACAGAAAAGTAAGAGATTTTTTTTAGATAAATTTAATCAAATTTATGATTAAGTATTATTACTTTCGTGTCATAACATATACGAGGGCTGTTCAATAAATAATGTCCTCGGTGCTCAGAAAGAAGCAAACGAGCTTTTCAATGATTTAGTCTTCGTGATTTTACTTATTAATCTCTTTTAATTCAAACACATGTCCGTAACATTTTTTATCCAATTATTGATTGTTTTTAGAACTTATTGTTGGGTATAACTGGAAAATGGCAGATCCAATGATTTCTTGGACTTGTTTTTCCCTCTGAAAGGAGTTTTTTATTTCAAGTTTGGAAACAGAAACAAGTCAAAAGGTCAAAGATCTGGCAAATATTGTTAATGTGAAAAAATATTAACTTTCTGATTATCCCCAAAGTCCCTTTACTCTTCAGGGCTTGCGTGTTTGGACACTGTCATGAAGGAATTCAATGTAGTGGATTCCTGATTTTGCAAAAAATTGCTTTCTAGACTCCTTCAGATATTAATCTGTCTCCCCGAATACGAATTTGAACAACATTACAACTTATATTTAGAAAATTGCATGTAAATCTGTCTTTGTGCTCTTGCATTACTTTGCTTTTCTCAGACCTTCGCCTTTTTTATCAAGTACATCTTATGGTAAATTTTGTTTTGATGATTTTAAGCAATAGATTCATGTTCCAATATCGGTTTGAATATAAAACAAATGTGGATAACTACACTAACCGATATCTTAAAATAATTGTTAAGACTTTCGTACGCAGGTAGGTTAAGGTTACAACCATATATTTTACTTGCCTATATGCTACGACGTCATAATAAGCTATATGACTTGAGATTTAGAGATAAAAAAAATCTTAAAATCGATATCTAAGATTGATTTGAGGTCGTAAAAATAAACCAAAATATGCAGAGGAATAATATCAACGGAATTTTGTCGTTCCTGGGCCTCTGTAGTTATCACAGGGGTTACATACCAAACCCGTGACGTCATAACTGTTGATCATGCAGTAGCAGAGTGAAAGTGAAAAGTCACGAAAATTGATGTAAACAAACACAAGAAATTGGAGTTTAAAAGCATTTAGAATGAAAATCATCTGTGATTCTTGTGTGAATAAATAGTATGAATAAGGTATGGTAATATAATTCTGCAATTTCTTTGTAAAATTAAAGAAGGGAGGGTGTTTACTTGCCGATCTGCCTTTCCTCTGTCGTTCGTAAAAAAAAGATGCAAAAGTTCAACACTACGCCGCATACCTTGAAACTTAATTTTTGTTTCTATCGAAAGTTCTTATTCTTTTGTTTTTGGAAAGTGCTGCTAGAATCTTATGGTTTAAGTGAATTGGTGCATTTTTTTCGATGTTATGAACAAATTGTAAAAATTTTGGGAAGGTTTCGTCCGAAATTGTTTAATAATTATTTCTATAAGAGGACAGTAGGATTCTAGCAGCACTTTTCATGGTACAGAGATGTTTTAACATAACTATTAATATAAATTGGAAGTAATTATCCCCGGGGTAGTGTTAAACTTTTCACTTTTTCATTAAGGCATATTTTCTAATTATAGACGTCACGTGGTGACGTCGTGGTGAAGTGCCTCCTGTAGTATAAGTTCCATTGAAGTCTATAGAATACATAATTATAGTAAAAGTTTTATCCTTGACTTTTCCGATTTATTAGTGTTGCATAATTATAAAAAAGTGTTAATTCGCCGAATTCTGATCCATGTGCTGCCTTAACAAACCCGCGTACACTCTGTCGTTTTCACTCATTTTTCAAAATACAGGGTTACCTTTGAGTATTAAGCTTTTGTACTGTCAAACGTTTCTTAAAAACAGTGTATATTACTCCCAATATGATGTCTATTAAAGAAGTAGAGCCACTTTGGGCTTTATTCGGCCCTGAGAATTTCTGAAAATTCAAAACCGCTCAGTTTAAGTTGCAAATGCAGTATTTATCACTTGGACTGTTGGTGTCCACGTATGTATTAATTGTGATTTCACATCTAATTAATGCATTATGACGTCATAAAATGCGTCATTTTCCTCATATCCTGTAAATTCCTTTGAAAATGACCTAAAGTTCAAGCGTTTTTCAATATTTAATATAGAGCACAACCTCTGATCCAAAATATGCCAATACATAATGAAAGGTCTATCTCGGAACATCAAAAAACATGTTTTATTTTTTGGATCGTGGGCTGTGCTCATATTTTAATTCTTTGTTGAAGGTAGTCAAATACGCATGTTTTCTGCAAATTTCAAGAACATTGCAATTTCTCAAAGCCTGTTGTCAAATATTTGGATTCTCAAAACAAAATTTCATTATAGAACATGAAAGCACCAAGTGTCTACTTTATTTTGATATATGAAAATGGAAAGAGGGTGATAGTTAATTAATTGATATAAGTACAGGGCCATTTTATGCATAAGATGGCTCTTGCTCTTTGCTATGTGTCTTAAAGTCAATCATACATCATCAAATATTATTTGTTGAAATTTGGCAAACAGTACATAAGTTGTTATAATTTTTGTTGGGAAGGAGGGTACCCATTTTTGATGCCCATTATATAATTTTTTTTATTATTGAAATCCACCTGCTCATTTGTCTATAAAACAGGCATTGGTTGCTGTAAATGACACATATTTCAGTGAATATTTCTTTGGGATTTTAAACAAGTTTTACAGCAGCTTTATTTTCACTCTAGTTTACTGTTTCTTTACCTTTCATTTATAATGCAGTGTCTGGAAAAGCTCTTGTTTTACAGCTTCTCATGATGAAACTATGTGATGAAAAGTGGTCACATAAACTGTTTGAAATTCAGTAAAGATTCAATAATGAGAGAAAGTCAAGTTTAATGTCATATGATATCTGTATTGTATGTCATACAGTTCAGGACATAATTTATTGAACAGCCCTCGTAACTGATTTCTGTGATAAGCATTTACTTAGCACTGGAAAAAGGGCATTGAAGATTCAGCGAGATCTTGTTATTTTCTTAAAAACAATGTTCTCTTTCAGAGTCATAAGAAAGTAATTAAAGTGTACAATATTTAGGAGGGATGAGGGGTGCATAGAGCCTGTAATTTAGAAATGATGTTGTTTTCCATATTTGCATTTTTTTAAATTCCAATAAGACTATCAAAAAATTGTGAAATTTATCATGAGTCAAACCAACACCACAACCCTGAGGTATTCATCTTTGGTTGATTACATGTCTGTTATGTTTTGGTGGTCAAAAATAAACGCTGCAAGGAATTTTCTGATTATTTATACGTGTATTCATCTGGCTTTTGATTTCTTTTTCCATCACTGGTATCCGTCAAAATGAAGAATATTTATTTCCCCTTGTCATTATTATATATATATATATATATATATATATATATATATATATATATATATATATATATATATATATATATATATATATATATATATATATATATATATATATATTTCTGATAACCTAAACATTTCATTCCTTTCAATTTCTAAAGATATTATTTTTTTTATGTGAAAATAAGCGCAAAAACAAACATTTTACCTTTTAAACAGTCATTGTGTAGTCGAATATATCCCATCTTACAGGTACATTTATTGTCTAAGCATGTGAGGAAGGCTTCTGTTCTATCAGACAGGTTTTCTGAGTTATACTAGTATCTATTATCCATCTGCAGGGTTAAAGAAACTTTCTGATGGAAACACTGATTTTTAAGTGCATGAAACGTTTATATGTATAACAAAAAACATGTTAATATGTTAATTTAGCCCGTAAACTTTTTCAAAACCATAAGAAAAAAAAAATAGATATATTATTAATATAATTTTATGAAATATGAATAAATTTTGACACACATTTTATTGACCTTCTCGTACCCAGGTTTACACGAACAGAGATTCTCTAGACGAACCGTTCGATAGGATGATGTATCACAGTGATCATCTAAGTCACGGGATTCCCAAACTTTTTTACTAAAAAAGATTTTTATAATACATGTACAGTCATACAAATCTTAACCACTGCACAAAATAGGTATTACAATGCTTTGTCTGTATGGAATATGGATAATACGGATGAGACCATATAATCAGAGGTCCCGTGTCGCAGTAGGTGCCGCCACGGAAAAAGTTCCATCCCTGCTTAAGGTATATTGCTGAATAAATAAGGGAAGATGACAAAGGGAAAGTTGTAGTTGTAATGTTTATCAACAATCAAACAAACAAACAGCACAGAAACATAGCCTTATTAAAGTTATGATAGCTCTCCTTTTTAATGTTGGAAAAAAGGTTGAGGACAGGTAGAAAATTACAAATATTTTTTTTTAAAAAGCGTATTAAAGCTTATTCGAAAAAACCCCTAAAATATAATTAAAATATATTGAAAAAAAAAACGGAATATCGCGTATATTGTGATACACGATTCCTCCCACTTTAGTATGAATGGACAATTTTCTTTCTATCCCAGACAATAGATGAGCCTTCCGTTTGGTTTGGAGTATGACACTTCTTCGAGATTTCTACAAAACAGAAAAATCATCAGGCACAAGTATAAACTCATATAAACTTTAATGGTATTAATTGTTGTAGCATTAACTAGTGTATGCACAATGACTTAATTGACTTAATGAGAGAGAGAGAGAGAGAGAGAGAGAGAGAGAGAGAGAGAGAGAGAGAGAGAGAGAGAGAGAGAGAATAAAATCCATATTATATACAAACCTGCTACCCGTTTTACACATGTTAAAAAGAAGACACGTGACGGACGTTAATAAAATCCAAACTAGAAATCCACCACTTCCACTTCCAATTGTAAAAAAGGAATCATTTCTTGTCTTCTCTTCTCTACTATATAATATTACAATACTACTTAACGAATACATCGTCGATAACCATCGATCCTGTCTATCAACTTGTGGACTCACAGTGGTTGGCGATGATGAAAAGAAATGGTGCCTAATGCAATCTTTTCATCTTATTATATATCTCAATTCAATTAATTAGTAGTTATTAGATATATTTTCAACTGAAATAGTTTGAAGAAAATCATTATGTTAGAGTTTTGAATGGTGTAATAAATATAACAAAATAATTTATAGTATTCAGATGTGCATGTATATCACTAAAAATGTAAGAGCATGGAGGGATAAAATTCATTTTTTTTTCTATAAAACGTGATAAGAATATTTTATCATTAATAGCTGTGTATATTTATATAATTCAAACACATACGCTGGTGAAACCAGAAGAAAAAGTATGTAAAACGATTTTCGACCAGGCTTGAAAATCAGATAAATCTTACTTAAAATGTTTTCCTTAAAGGAGTATATATGATAAGAGCCTATTTTGGCCCCCTAAAAATCAACATTTTAGATTGATTGATTGATTGTATATTGTTTAAACATTTTTTTAGAATGACGGTGAATTCAAATTTTGATATATTGAGCAGTGATTTATAGTTATTTTGTAGAAGAGATTATCAAATTAGAAATACCAATTTTAACGACTAGGTCATATATTTCACGAAGCGAGCGCTTCACATTGAACGGTCAACATTTTAGAATGACATTCAGATATATTTTATTTATAGTTATTTTGTAGAAGAAATTATATTAGAAATATTTCCAATATATTTTTCACATTTATGTGCACTCACTAGCTGTAAATAACAAGAGAAATAATGCTATTTTTGCTATCAAACAAAAAAGCCAAAAATATGCCTTTTTCTTGATGTTTTTTCTTATGGGAAATATAGAGCGCAGTGTAGAACATACATAATTTTTCTGTCACTAATTAGTATTGAATAGATATATCTTTGGTAAAAATATAAAACTTGTTCTCGGTTGGGCTTTTCTGAAAGAAAACCTGCTTGAAAATAAGCAGTTTTATACAAAAAAAAATGCAAAAATGGCGGGAAAACGTGATTTTTATGATGTCATATTTCTAAAATAACGGCATTTTGATCAAAATGAAAATGACCAATGAAGGTCGCATATATTGCTGTACAAATGAAAGCTATATATAAAGTAAAATTAAGATATCCATTTTTAGGGGCCAATTGAGACACTTATCATATATTGCTCTTTCTTTACTTCGTCGATGGAACATTTGTCTAGTTTACATTGCCTCGTGTTGCAATGGGATGTCGGTATGTCATAAGCAAAAAATCCAAACCGAGAAACCGCTGGCTCTGGAAGTTGTGATAGAATCAGAGCCTCCTTATCTTTATGAAACAAAAATATATAATAATATAATAATTTGAACACTTTAAATAATAATTAAGTTTAAATTACGTGAAGTGTATTTGTTTCTTATATGTGAGAATATGTTTACCCCTTTGGCCTTTTTCACTTTCCAATAATTTTCCAGGACAGTGTACAGGAGAACAATCTGAAAAAATGTAAACAGAACATAACATTTCACTTTTATACAGATCTGACTTTGTATGGTATTAAAGAAATTTTCAAAATAAAACTTCATTTCTTACTTTGAAAATATGTGGATTTTGTTCCTTCAGCACAGTTGAAACTAAGATATGTAAGCTTGTCTTTACATGTGTAAGTATTGATAGAGATAATCATTTTTATTCTACATAATCGTTGTTGACGGGCTCCTATTGATTTAACATGCATGTATTTTTGTATTGTTTCAAGTTTGATGTCACCAAGGGAACACGAAGATGGTTTATCAGCATTAAGGCCCGTAATATAAAGAGATATACCTGGTGAAAAAGATGAAAATCAGATGTTGAAATTATCATTGTGTTTATCATTTAAAATTCTGTTTTCCCCTACAGCTTCATCTAAATGTTAAACAACACTTCATACCTTGATACACAGTATTTACGCTGGTATTGGTCATTTCAAAATAGGTCTCCTCCAAATTAATTGGGCTTGATTCATCAGTACGAATGAATGAAAAACAACTGAAATTCAACATGTCAACGTACATACTTATTACTATGGTTGAAGATTGTACAACAAAGGGGGTTTTATGATAATATAAATACATGTAGACATATTCAATAACTGACAATAAATATTTATTCATCTTTCAGCAAATGTAAGAATTAACAAAAAGAAAATTTTATGGATACTTTAAACATAGCTTACCTTCTTTCCTCTTGTGAATTAGCAGTTTCGTTTTGTGAATCAGCTTTACAAACAGAAAAAAAAATTATTATCGCAAAAACGATATATAAAGAATACATTTTAGTTGCAATTTTTTTCATTGCCCTAACAGTTTTCGCTACATACGATAAATGAAACACTAAATTTAGATGCATGATGACTTTCCTATTATTTAAAATTGGAATTATGTAATTAATTTGTCATATCCAAATGCAACAGCCCCGTGGGAATCCGGGTTAGAATAGATCCTATGTATCCCCTTGCTTGTCGTAAAATGGGACTAAATGGGGCGGTCCTTCGGATGAGACTGTATAAACCGAGGCCCCGTGTCACAGCAGGTGTGGCACGATAAAGATCCCTCCATGCTCAAAGGGCGTAAGTACCGAGCATAGGCCTAAATTTGCAGCCCTTCACGGGTAATGGTGACGTCTCTATATCAGTGAAATATTCTGGAGAGGGACGTTAAACAGTATACAATCAATCAATCAATCCAAATGCAACATGCAACTTTAAAAAAAAAAATACAGTTATAAGTGTCCTCCCTTTCAGTACTTTTTTTTTTGTTAAATATTGTATGTATAAAATATGCTTCTTTTATACCAGTATGTAAATTCAAAGCTTGCAAATTACTTGACGATTCGTAATACAGTTAAATTAGAACAATAACAAATTTCCCGTTTTTTTTTTGAATAAAAAATTTACAAACGCATGTTGTACATTTCCAGACGTATATAAATTTGCCAACGATGCTCTTTAATTAGCTAATTATTTGTAAAATTATTTTAATAATTTTACTGAAAGCGATTTTCAGAAGTAAAAAAATAAAAGAAAACAGATTAAATAATCTAGAATATCCATTCTTAAAATTCAAACAATGAGATGACCGTTCACGGTAGCATAGTGGTAGAGCGTTCGCTTCATGATCGGGAGGCCCGGGTTCGATTCTCGTTCCCGGCGCCGTGTCAAACCTAAGACGTAAAAATAGGTAGCAATTGTTCCTGCGCCAAGAGCTCGGCATCAGAAGTGAAAGTCACGGGTCTTTCGGATATGACCTTAAAAACATAGGTCCCGTGTCACGGTAGGCGCTGGCACGATAAAGAACCCTCACTGCTTGATGGCCCTGAGTGCCGAGTATACACTGTAGGTCTAAATTTGAAGCCCTTCACCGGCATACGGTGACGTCTCCATATGAGTTAAATACTCAAGAGGGACGTAAAACAATATACAATCAAACAATGGACTAATATTGGAAAAACAATATTTTTTATTTGAACATATTTTGTTTAACACAAAAGGATCAGAAACAAGTTCTTACAACTTACAAATTCTTCCTCTGTATTACAAATACAATACAGATTAAAACCAGGGAACATAATTCTTTTGAAACACCAGAGTTGATAAAAAGTGCCACAAGGGAATAAACATTCCTTAAAAAGGTTATACACAGAGTTAAGTTTTGTTTTTAACGGATAAGCAGACAAGATGAATCTATTGATCGTCAGTATAAAAAAAACTATGATAAACACGACGTTTTCAATCGTCAACTTTCCTCACTTATGCAGCAGTATACCTTACACCAGAATACTGGAAGATTATCTCCCATATGATTGGAAGAGTTATTGACAAGAAAGTTGATGAAACAAGAATATTTTAGTCTTTTTTAAAGTTATCATCAAATAAGTTATAGTTTCAAAGAAAGTGGCTCCCATCAGCCACGTACCTCATATCACTTGACTAGACACTTATCTAGTGTTTAGGCAGTGTGATATATACGAGGTTTAAGATTTTGATAGTATATCAATTAGCTGCAAATTAGCTAGGAGAAGAGCATATCACTCAGATTTTTATTGTGTTTTATGACAAAATATTTTTGTGTTTAATTAGGATCTAAGTGAAAACGGGGTTCTTGGCTTGATTGGAGTCTCTTTTTTTCAATAGGTCGAATCAGTGACCTTGTTAGCAAAAACAATCCTCATTAATTCAAATGCTTAATGACCTTTCTCATACACCATGAAATTGTTAACCCTCTGGCTGCGGGAAGGACATATATGTCCTTTTACCGCTGGCTGCGGGAGGGACATATATGTCCCTGGCGTATATGTCCCTGGCGACGTCATAAAGTTTGAGACGTTTTTTCACTTTCCTAATTGAAATTTATATATTATAATGACTATATCTGACTGTATTTTTTGCTACATTAAAATATTTAAGAATTTGGAAACAATAACCGATTAATATAAGTTAAATTAAAAAAAAAATTATAATAAATTATGTATTTGTTTGTGAATTGATTTGCAAGTTTAAATGCACAAACGAAATACTTTTTCGCATCTTAGTTCTAACATTAATTATATTCATAAAGCTAAAATAACGCTAACAGTCCATTTTGTTGAGGAAAAATTATAATTGTATATAATAAATAATTGTCTCATTAAATTTTATTTAAAGAATTTTTAAAAAATTCAAGAGAAAGCTTGTGTATAATTTAGGAATATAATTTGCCAAAAAATAATTTACAATATTTACATTTTCATTCATTTACACATTTTTTTTCCCAAAATTGAAACAAGACTGCCTCCAAATGACTTTGATTTTGAGTTTGAATAGAAATTTGACAGCTATTGTAGAAGTAGCCAGGACAAATAAATGTTAATTACCTGCCTTTGGGCCAGGCCGCGTATTTTAGAAGTCCTTATTTAGCCAGGGTAATTAATTGACATAACCGTTATCAATTCTTTCTTTGATAAATTTGATAGTGAAGTTGTTTACATACAAGTCGTGTAACCATGATTTACTGATTAAAACAATATTTGGTTCATAGCGACACACATTGTTATAACTAATGATAACTTTTCCTCTACACAGTCAAAATCTAACACAGAATTCAGCTCTTTAAAGAGCCGCCTCTACATTCCATGAACTGAATTGTAACGAAATATTGAAACGATAAAATTTTAATGTATTCTGTATGGTAATGCAAAACAGACCCTGCACAATTTTAAAAACATGTTGTTTTTTTTCGAATAATTATGATCTTATGCATTTACTTCACTCAAAAACGAATTTTTGATTAAGCGGTCATTTTTATAATGACCGGGTCATTATATCCCACGTGCAATGATTTCAATAAATTAATCTGTACCTGAGTCATTGTTGTGTTTTAAAGTTTTCTTACCAGCCAATCAAATTCGAGTATTATCAATAGAGGTATAATAATATACATGTACCACTCTATTTTCTCGATCGACCTACACAAGTAGGACCTTGTGAAATCCACCTTACATCGAAGTATCCAAGTCGAATATTTCAATAAATTATCTGTACCTGATCAATTTTAAAGTTTCTTTCAAATAATCCATTTTCTCCCTTGCAATGATAAAACCACATATTCCTCGTGCGAGACCCCTTATCATGACTAAAAGCACACGTCCATTACTAGATCAGCATCTATTTACATATAAAACTTAATTATTCTACATTTCTATGTATTTTTTCTAGATCTCCTCCTTTAATTAAATATCGGAGTACTATAGCATCGTTCGTATTAACAGATTCTGAAAAAAGGATTCTAGTACAATGAAGCCCCCTAGTATAATAATTGTATTTTTGCTGTAGTAAATTTTCCTTTCTATGCCCCCTCCTTTCCTCAATTTTGGTTGCCGTAATGTCGAACACCTGAAAATTTCAAGATTTGAACATTTCGGATTTAACCCCCCCTCGTTATTTCGTAATTTTAACTTTGAAACCGTTGCTATATTATTAACACAAGTAAACTACACAACCTCACAAAGTTTTAGATATTGTCTATCTACCGGGGTATGCTTTCAAAACGTTTAAGTTTTAATTTTTATAGGCAAATGTTTCAAAGTAAAAATAAATGAATACTGAGCCGGAAAGTACATGTAAGTAAAATAAATGAATTTTATATAATGTCACTTTTCCCGTACATTACAGCTTCAGTAGAAATGATAGAAAACACTCCATTTTGAAATTCACTGAACTCAAATCATGCCGAAATAATGTTTATTCAATTTTTTTTTTATTTTTTGGTTATAATGCCTAATTACAATATATTTCTGGAATTAGAGAAACCTGTAGGCACCTTTTATTTACTAAATCTTGGCCTTTATTAAGTTGACAAATCCAAAGATTATCTTGTGTTATGAAATTACAATGTATGCAACTTACTGTAATAATGTGAATGGTATGCTACTATTTTGAAGGAATGCAAAAAATCCTAAGAAATCTAGATCTTCAGTTGCCAACTAAATGGCGTTGTAGCAACCTCTAATGATATAACACCGCTTAATGACACACCTATCAGTATGCATTGTAATGTCATAAATTCTTGCATTCTAAAATGATTGATCAACCGCTAATGCAAAATCGCCGCTTAATGAAAGAATGGTATCATTAAGCGGACAAGCAGGTCAACCATTAATGCAATAATTTATTACTTTAAGCGTGGTATTGCAACGCTTTATGTTATTTGTATCATTAAGCGGCGTTATACATGTATCTTTAGAGGTTGCTACATGGCGTAATATCTTGATGAAATGTGTCTAAGTCAAAGATGCACGTGTTGTAGATCGTGTAATCGTGTGTTCATTTTTTGTGATAGCTTTCATGAAATGATGTGCATTCCTTTTCATAATTATTTGTTACTTATTCATATTTTTGGTGTTTGATTACAATTATTCTGCTAAATATAATCTTTTTAAATAAAAAGTACAACTTTTGATCAACATTTTTAATCTGAAGATAAACCCAAACAGTCAATAATTGAATCCCGTGCAAGTGCAGAAAGGTCAAGAATATTAGCACCAGTAAATTACCCATCTCTCATTACTTGAAGGCGAAAGGCGAATTATTTTTGTAATCATGTGGGTACGCTCCTCATCATATTAAAGTTTGAAAACATTGTTACAAAGACTTCTGAAATATATTTACAAATATATATGTAAGACTCCAAGGTCCGATGGTGACGCCAAAGTCCGATGGTCTCGCCAAACCCCGATGGTCTGCGCCAAACCCCGATGGTTTGCTATTGTTACGGACGCCAAAGTCCGATGATCACGCCAAAGTCCGATGGCTCGTTTCCTATGAGACTA